GCAAGGTTGAGAGTATTCTAATTCAGAAATTGAGACTATTGAAGAAAGACATCTCCTGCTGGAATAAGGAAGTCTTTGGCAAGGTTGAGTCAAGAAAGAGCAAAGTTTTAGATGAACTTTTAGTGTTGGAACAAGTCACGGAGAATAGGGTTCAAACTGTAGAGGAAAAAAGCAAAATGTTTGCTTTTAAATTAGAATTGGAGCAGATAGCAAAAGCTGAGTAGATTTCATGGAGACAGAAGTCCAAGTGCCTATGGCTCAAAGGAGATAGGAACACCAAATACTTTCAACGAATTGCGACCTCCCATAGAAGAAATAATTGCATTGACAGACTTATGGTTGATTATGAGATTATTTAAGATAAGGAGTAGATAAAAGGGGAAATTCTGGATTTTTACCAACAATTATACAATGAGTCTGAACAGTGGAGACCTACAGCTAGTCTTGATGATCTAGAAAGAATATCAGAAGAAGACAAAGCATGGTTAGAAATTCCTTTTGAGGAGGAGGAGGAGGTCCTTTCTACTATTAAAGCATGCTTTCCAGATAAGGCTCCATCCAGAAAGCATGGTTGATCATTAAGGAAGAGGTGATGGCTGCCCTGAATTTCTTTCATCATAACTGTCACATGATGAAGTCTTGCAATGCCTCTTTTATAGCCTTAGTTCCCAAAAAGAAGGGAGCCATTGAACTCAAGGACTATAGACCAATCAGTCTGATTGGTAGTGTTTACAAAATAGCAGCCAAACTACTTGCAGAAAGGCTCAAGAAAGTGGTTGGTGGTCTGGTTTCTGGACATTAGAATGCCTTTATAAAAGGCAAACAAATCACTGATGCAGCCCTCATTACAAATGAGATATTAGACTGGCAATTGAAGAATGGAAATCCTGGTATTTTATGCAAGCTAGATGTGGAAAAGGCCTTTGATAAGGTGAATTGGGCATATCTTCTAACTGTGCTTAGGAAGATGGGCTTTGGTGACAGGTGGATTAAATGGATGAAGTTTTACATTACCACAGTTAAATTCTCCGTACTTGTCAACAGAGGGCCAGTGGGATTCTTTTCCCCTCAGAAGAGACTTAGACAGGGGGACCCTCTCTCTCCTTTCCTTTTTATTCTGGCCATGGAAGGCCTTAGCAAGATGTTTGACAAAGCGAAGCAACTCCAATGGATTAGTGGCTTTCAAGTGGGGCACAACTCTGGACCATCTCTCTTAGTATCTCATTTGCTTTATGCAGATGATACTCTGATCTTTTGTGGGGCTGAAAGATCCCAAGTCCTATACCTTAATCTAACTTTGTATTTGCTTGAAGCTATTTTAGGCTTGCACATTAACATGGCAAAAAGCACTATCTACCCTGTAAATGAAGTCAACAATCTGGAGGATTCAAACAAAATTGTAACCGTGCCAAAGTATCAGGAACCTAGGAAATTGTGATGCAGCTTTCCCAACAAAATTGTAAAGCAGCTTGACAAGATCAGGGGAACGTTTCTATGGGAGGGAGGCAGCAAAGCTTTTCATCTAGCCAAGTGGTCAAAGGTCACCGTGCCAAAGTATTTGGTGGCCTAGGCATCAGAGATCTTTCCATCCACAACAAATGCATGCTGATGAAATGGCTATGGAGATACAATCAAGAGGAGAATTCACTATGGAAAGAGGTGGTCAGGGCCAAGCATGGGTCCGAGAATCATTGGTGTACTAAGCTGTCCAGAAGCCCATATGGGGTCGGTCCATGGAAGAACATTAGGAAGCTCTGGAGTGAATTTTCCCGGAACTCCTATTTTAAATTGGGCAATGGCAATCACATAAAGTTCTGGAAAGATAAATGGTTTGAAGGATCCATCCTGATGTTTGACTTTCCTAGCCTCTATCAGATAGCTCAGAATCAAGATTCCACTATTTCTCGCAATTGGCAAGACAATTGTTGGCACATTCTTTTCAGGAGGGATATGCAGGACTGGGAGCTTCCACAACTTCTAAATCTGCTGGCAAAATTGGAAGGCTTCTCAGACAAGGAAAATACTTTTGACAGTATAAGGTGGGGAAGTTCCAAGGATGATCTTTACACTGTGAAAGCAGGCTACACTCACTTTTGCTCCACCAATGAAATCATTGATAGATGGTCTTGGAAATACATCTAGAAGACCAAGCTACCTACAAAAATCTCCTGTTTTAGTTGGATAGCCCTAAATGAAGCATGCCTAACCCAGGACAATATCATCAGAATAAGTCAATTGGCCAACAGATGTTATATGTGTTTGCAGCAGCCAGAATCCAACATGCATCTCTTTCTTCACTGCCCAGTTGCAGCAGATATCTGGTGTATGTTCTTTGCCATCTTTTATTTAAGCTGGGTCATGCCTTAGAACATTAAGGATGCCTATGAAAGCTGGTCTTCATGGAAAGTTGATAACTCCATCAGTAAAGTTTGGCAGATGATCCCTTCTTGTGTTTTGTGGTGTGTTTGGACAGAAATGAATCACAAATGTTTTGATGGGGATATCAACTCCTACATATGCACTTAAGGCTAGATGTCTTTTATGGTTATATAGTTGGCAGAACTTAGCTCCTGTCAATTGTCCTATTAATCTTTTGGACTTCGTAAGCTCCTTAGCTTTAGCCTAGTTTTTGTCTGCAAAGCTGACTGTGTCTTTATGTATCTCTCTTTTGTACTTCTTGCATCTTCTTGAAGCCTTTAATGCAGTTCTCTTACTTCATCAAAAAAAATATGTGGAGGCTACACCAGCTTTAGGATTATTGCAACTATCTTTTAGGACATAATTGCCCCTTACTAGAATTGCTTAGTTGCATATGAATTCTTAGTAGGAATGTCGGCTGTAATGCCAAACCCAATTGATGGATCTAAAGTGTCCCATGTTTATTTAGGAAAAAAAGAGAGGAATACACTAGCCAAGTTATACAAGTCAACAAACTTCTACAAGATTTGCCTTTTGAGGGTAGTTTGCAATGGTTATGGCATGAGATTTTTATTCCAAAAAGGACATTTGATTAGGAAAAAGAAAGAGGAATACACTAGCCAAGTTATACAAGTCAACAAACTTCTACAAGATTTTCCTTTCGAGGGTAGTTTGCGATGGTTATGACATGAGATTTTTATGCCAAAAAAAGGACATTTTATTTCTTTCCACAACAACCTAAACTTATGCTTCTAAAAATTTGTTGAACCAGATCCTTGTGCATGCGATCTTCCCAGATTAACCAAATTATAGCCTGTTTGGCCAAGCTTCTTCAAACCTAGAAGCACTTTTTTTCTTCTTTTTTTTTCAAAGTTGAAGTGTTTGGCCAAGATTTTTAGAGAAAAAAAGTACTTTTGAGGAGAAGCAGAATTAGTTTCGGATAAACAGAAAAAAACAGCTTCTCCCCAAAAGCACTTTCTTGAAAAGCACTTTTGAGAAAAATGCACTTAGAAGCACTTTTTAAATGCTTGACCAAACACTAATTGCTGCCCAGAAGTGCTTTTCAAATTAATTAGCCAAACACAAACTGCTTCTCGCCAAAAGTACTTTTTCAAACATGCTATTATTCTGTTGCATAACAAGGAATGTGAATAAAGTTCTTTTCTTTGAGGAGCTATGTGATTTGGGAGTTTGTGCATTAACTTTGTAGTCTGATAGGGTGAATAAGATGAGATCAATTCAGGTTTGCTTCTTGGCAGTGGCTTCTATAGGTAAGAAAAGTTCATTATCCTTGTTAATGTCGTCTTTGTCCTTCTCCTTCATCCCTCAGAAAATAGCAGCATTGTCCCTTGACTCAATTCCGCCTAGCTTACCATCATGAACAACTTTTCTGATTTATTTGTTAAATGAGGTCATTAACATTGGATTTAAAGATTGAATTGTCTGTGACTAAACTGCTGACACTTCTGCCTTTTACTCCTGAAGAGTCTAAGAAGGATCATTCTGCCTTTATTGAGGACTGGTTTGGAGAGTGGTGTGGTGGTTATCAGTCCTGTCACATCCTTCCAAATTTTGGATTATTCCACACTACTATAGTTTGCTTGAGTTGGTTTCTGATGTACTTGTAATGTCTTTACTCCTCTCAATCTCTTTCTTGAGCATCTTTATTGCATGGATCATTTAGGTCAAAGTTAAAAAAATTGCTAATGAGTGATGACACATATGAATCGAGCATACCGGGAGACATTGTTTAGCTCCTGCTGCCCAAACAGAAGTGACACTCCGGGGATGTTTTAATTATTTTTTCAATTTCTCTTTTCAAAATTATATTACAATTTACAACCAAGTTTAGGGCTTGGCTGAGATGATGAATCGCCCTTACCGCTTCTAGGCCTGTATTACGTTTGAGACATATAGCTTTCTGTATGGCTGCATACTGCAGCAGCTGTAAGAGGGTGGTCTTATAAGGCAAGTAATGCTGGAAACTAATTCTTTTTCTTATAATTATGATGATGACATTAGTTGAACTTAAATGGAGAAACATGGTTAGTGAGGATTCATAGCCTACCCCGACTTGTTTGGGGCTGAGACATAGTTGTTTTTGTTGTTTTGTCCTCCATTTGGCCCTTCTGCTAATTATGCAGATAGGTTGCACACTTTCGACGTTTCCTTTCCCAAAGATATCCATACTGGTGTTTCATATCCATACTGCTTTTTACTGCCTAAAGATATAAAGGAAAGACAGAAAATCAAAGAGAATATTGTTTGTTAGTAGTATTATGCATTGTTTATAGCATATGATCATTTGAAGGGTTTTGAACCTTTTAGGTTTTTGCCTAAGCTACCATCTAATGACATCATGTTTTAGGAAGGAATTTTATGGGCTAGTTGAGACTCTGAAAAATCAAATATGGAGACTTTGTTGGGTTCTGTTTGCTTGTATTTGTTTTGATCTTTTAAGTGATTTTTTTTGGAGCTGAAATGCATGCCCGAGATATCTAAAACAGTGATGCACTCTATTTTTTTTTTATTATATGATTTCTGTTGACTAAATTATTTGACCTTTATATTTCATTTTGCAGGTACTGTATAATTGTTACTAATTAGGAACATCCGAGAGAATAATTTCGACATATATCTGGAGAATTGTAAATCTGTGATGGATAACCATGCTTGAGCTCAATAATCAAAATAGATAGTGTCAAAACCCTCATTTTGTTATAGCACTATTATGTGTTGCTTGTCAAATTTGTACTTTGTTGTGATACATCTACAAGCATTAATAACATTCACAAATTTTGGTTGAACTATGATTTGCTTTACTCTTCCTAGATAAGTTGGTGTGCTATTTAACTATAGTGGTGATTACTTAGCTTGACGACGTTGTTGGGTTGAAAGTGAGGGTTCTCAAATTGCAAAAACTCTTGAATAGCCATTTTGTCAAAATACTACGTGGCCTTCTGACCACAACCCTACAACTTTAGCTTTCTATTATGTTACAGTGGCCTATTCTGGCAAGTGTATGAGGAATTCGCATTACGTCCTGGGTTTTGTATGTGTTTATTTGTACTTGCAAGAGAAGTTCAGTACGAAGTTTGGTGTCTCGAAGACATTCCATGGAATGGTATGAAACTCATGAGAAGTTTTGTTTCAGAGGAAAAAAAACATAACGAGGTCTTTTCCCATCTACTCAAGTATCGATGAACGGAGTTATTCGGTACCTATGTTGGTGGGGTTTGGGAGGGGGGTAATATATGCCCGGTGAAATAATCAAGGTGCGTACGAGTTGATTCAGATATTATCAAAAAAAGAAAAAAAATCTTTGGTCATCTATTTCATAAGAAAAGAGAAACTTTTTCCACTTAGAAAAATGCCTTTTGACATGGAATAATCAATAATGTAGGTATTATTTGTGGTGATTGGTGTTGGCAGTTTCGTTTTGTACTATTTTGTTTGCCAACCATCAGCTGAGGTTCAGTAAGAGGAGATTCTATTTTGTACTCGTTATTGTGTATGCTCATCAAAATATGAATATGCGTGACATAATTAGAATAAAAGCTTAATCAATCTATATCTATATATCTATATAAAGCAAGTAATGAAAAAGCTGATGTGGCACCTCTTCTTATTAAGGAAATGCATTTATTTACTTTCTCAAATTTTCCATTATTTGATGTCTAAAAGAACTGTAAAAAAAAAAAAATTCTATTTATGTTATTTCTCATCATTAGCGTTTATTACCTAACCTGAATTGTTGCAAATGGGACGTTATCAACTTATCTATATTATATTAAAAGCACGAAAACTCTTAGCAAAATGTCGTTCGCCTTTTTTATCCTTTTAAAATAGAGTTCACACTTGATACAATAGTCATTTACTATTTTTTAATATTTAAGAATATTCATTTAAATAATTCCCTACTATTTAGGAATAGCCATTTAATTAATTTCCTATTGTATAAGAATCGCCATTTAATTATTCCTTTAATATTTATAATATTGATCTTCAATTCTTTTTGGTTCTAAAATTTCCAGCATGTTATAAAATAAAGACTGTAAAGTAAAGACAAGTATAGAGAGAAACTGATATATTATTCAACTTCAAATTCATGTACATAATGAACTGAAAACTCCTCTATTTATAGAAGAAAGGAAGCAGCTGCGAGGCTTTTCAGGAAGCAGCTGCAAGGCTTTTCTTTAGCTGCTTGTAAGCTGTCTGCATGAGCTGCTTGCAACCTGCCTGTTTAATAAGAAGCTGCTGCAAATCATTTCATTGAGCTGCTTGCAAC